CTGAGTATCATCAGCGTACAGATGGCACTTCACCCTAAAACCACGGATGATCTCACCCAGCGGCTTCACATAAATGTTGAACAGGAGGGGCGAGAGGACCGACCCTTGCGCAGAAGCTTCCATGCATGTGCAGAAGAGCGCGTGTGTGGGCACGATGTGAACTGGTAGTAATGGTAAGTAGAACCCACCCCTGGTATGTATATGTATATGTATACACAAATACATACACACACACACACACACAAATACTGATATTTTCCCCACACAATAACTTCAAAAAATATTTACCTTTTTTTTCCAATGCAATTCATTCTTCCCAAAGTTTTCAAAATGATTTTAGTGCTGAGGTCTAGTCATATTGAACTCTTCAAGAAGGAACTGAAGCTCTGCCAATCTGCAGTCAATGCCCTCTATTGTTTTGCACCTAATGGCTTTACAGTAATTTGTAAATCATTTTTATACAGAGGCAAAGTCCCAACTCTATTAAACCAGAACTGAAATGAAACCCCTTTTGTGCATTTTGATTGTTAAGTAATCTCATCTTGCCACTGTTCATAAGAAAAGAATTTTAATGTTTCACATCTTAAGTTTTTATTCTCTGTACTACAGATCAGGCATCTCCAAACTTGGCCACTTTAAAAACTTGTGAACTTCAACTCCCAGAATTCCTCAGCCAGCAAGAGTGGCTAGGGAATTCTGGGAATTGAAGTCCACAAGTCTTAAAGTCGCCATGTTTGGAGAACCTCTGCTACAGATACTACTACTATTCCTGCAGTTTTTAGTTTCTTTAAGTCAAAATCTTATTTGTTTTTTGTTTCTTTGCTTGTTTACTGGATTTCTGTGATTGCCCATCTCACTAATACAGGTAGACCTTAACTTACAATACTTTGTTTAGTGACTGTTTGAATCTACAACGGTGCTGAAAAAAGTGACTTATGAACCTTTTTCACACTTACAACCGTTGCAATATCCCCATAGTCACTTGATCAAAATTCAGATGCTTGGCAACTGAATCATATTTATGATGGTTGCAGTGTCCTGAAGTCATGGGATCCCCTTTTGCGACCTTCTCACAAGTGAAGTCAATGGGGAATTCAGATTCACTTAACAACCATGTTACTAACTTAACAAATGTAGTGTGTCAGAGTGCGCACAGTGTGACTATTTTTAGACAACCCAGGAGCAAAATACAGTAAACAGAGGCCTTTCAAATAATGGTTTATCTACAAGGAATATATACATACACGTACTAGGCAAAGTCAGGCAATCAATCATCAACTACAGCATGGAAGCACACACGCGAGAGAGTACTGTATCCAGCGGTGGGATTCAGCCAGTTCGCACCACTTCAGGAGAACCAGTTGTTAACTTTCTGAGCAGTTTGGCAAAGTGGTTATTGGAAGAAATCATTAGGGCAGAGAACCGGTTGTTAAATTACTTGAATCCCACCACTGGATATAACATTAATAAAGAATACCAGGTAGAGCATTTTAAGTTATTCTTATGTTATTAAAAAAAGAAGTATAAATTCCTGAGTGCAATGCAGATGGTTTCACTATGTTATTAGAATAGAATAGAATAACAGAGTTGGAAGGGACCTTGGAGGTCTTCTAGTCCAACCCCCTGCCCAGGCAGGAAACCCTACATCACTTCAGACAAATGGTTATCCAACATCTTCTTAAAAATTTCCAGTGTTGGAGCATTCACAACTTCTGGAGGCAAGTTGTTCCACTGATTAATGGTTCTCACTGTCAGGAAATTTCTCCTTAGTTCTAAATTGCTTCTCTCCTTGATTAGTTTCCACCCATTGCTTCTTGTCCTGCCCTCAGGTGCTTTGAAGAATAGTTTGACTCTCCTAAGATACTGGAAGACTGCTATCATGTCTCCCCTAGTCCTTCTCTTCATCAAACTAGACATACCCAGTTCCTGCAACCGTTCTTCATAAGTTTTAGCCTCCAGTCCCCTAATCATCTTTATTGCTCTTCTCTGCACTCTTTCTAGAGTCTCAACAACTTTTTTACATCGTGACAACCAAAACTGAATGCAGTATTCCAAATGCCTTACCAAGGCATTATAAAGTGGTATTAACACTTCACATGATCTTGATTCTATTCCTCTGTTTATGCAGCCCAGAACTGTGTTGGCTTTTTTGACAGCTGCTGCACACTGGTTGCCCATTAGGACTCCAAGATTCCTCTCACAGTTACTACTATTGAGCAAGGTACCACATATACCACATATTATTGTCTGCAAATGTTTAAAACAAAGCAGTTTGGTTGTAATATATATTTTTGCAGTCTATCGGCACCGATTTGTAGTTCACAGCCGAGTACATTCACAAGCAAGGGACCCATCTAAATCTCTCTCTGTACTTTTTCTGGAAGAAGACCGGAGAATATCTTCTCCAGAACCTTACACTAAATTAAACTTAAATATTTACTTTGTTGGGATTAAACCCATGTAAATAAATGGAAGAGTGAACACTTAGAATCTACTAGATTGGATGACGTATAATTCAACTGCCAACACGTGACCCTTTTAGATCCCACGCTAGCCAATGACCAACTCTGACCACAAATTGTTTTGTTTTGTTGTTGTGATGTCAACGTGTGCTGTGCGCGGAGGATTTCGCTGTCCAGCTGGTGAAGGAACCAGGAACGCTTCGGCGCGTTCTTTCTTGAAATCTTATTGAACAAGGAATGATTGATAATCTCTTCCTGAGCCAGGCCAGATGAAGAAGTGAAGAGAACTCTGAAGGTTTACTAGCCCAATTTAACTGTCAACATAAATTACCCTTAAATTAATTAAGAACAAGGGGTTAGCTGTGCAATTCCATCTGCTAATTGATTTAAAGATGTTCTTTCCAAGCGAGGCATGAGGAGACTGTCACACGATTCTCTTCTATTCACATTTTAGCCCTGCTTTCTGACCTTGCCTTTATGATTAATCAGAATACAGCTGGAAGGGATCTTGGAGGTCTTCTAGTCCAACCATTTACTCAAGCGGGAGATCCTATACCAGTGATGGCTAACCTTTCTGCCATCACGTGCCACGAGTGGGGGGGGGGGGGGGGGGGGGTTGCGCGCACGCGTGGGCACACCCATATTTCTATGTGGCCCGCCCTGTGCATGCACACGCCCCCCCCCGCTCTTGGCATGTGATGACCCGTTTTTCTTTCTCACCTGGCTCCAGATCCTCTCTATGCATCTGGGAAGGGCGAAAACAGCCTTCCCCACTCCCTCAGAGGCCTGAAACGGCCCATTTCCCAACTTCCAGTTGGACAGGAAGTGATGTTTTTTGCTGTCCCCAGCCTCCAGAGTCTCCCGGAGCTAAGCTGGCGTGCCAGGCAACATGGCTCCGTGTGCCGTCTGTGGCACGCATGCCATAGGTTCGCCATCACGGTCCTATACCATTTGAGACAAGTGGCTTTCTAGTCTCTATTTAAAAACCTCCAGTGATGAAGCACCCACAATTTCAAGAGGCAAGCTGTTCCAGTAGTTAATTGTTCTCACTGTTAGGAAGTTTCTCCTTAATTCCAGGTTGCTTCTCTCCTCGGTTACTTTATTTACATTCATTGTTTCTTATCTGGTGCTTTGGAAAATAAATTGACCCCCCTCTTCTTTGTGGCAGCCTCTCAAATAGTGGAATACTGCTATCATGTCACCCTTAGTCCTTCTTTTCTCTAGACTAATCGAACTCAAATCCTGCAACCGTTCTTCATATGTTTTAGTCTCCAAGCCTTTAATCATCTTAGTTCCACTTTTCTGCACTTTTTTCCAAAGTCTCAACGTCTTTTTTGTCATGTGGTGACCAAAACTGGATGCAGAATTCCAGGTGTGGCCTTACTAAGGACTTTATTTACAGTTTACAGAGTGGTCTGCAAATTTTAACAGTAGCATGGTTGGAAGGGACCTTGGAGGTCATCTAGTCCAACCCCCTGCTTACGCAGGAGACCTGTACTAGGGATTCGAACCGCCGAACTGCCAACCTTTCTGATCGACAAGCTCAGTGTCTTAGCCACTGAGCCACCTCAGTGTCAGGCTAATTATCCTTTCTCCTTCAAGGTTACCCAATATCACACATACACACCCCACACTCTAATTGGTCTACCCAATCCTCCCAATTTCCAAAATAACTCTTGAAGATGCAAACAAGCGATCTTGGAATCCATAACTCAAAGAGAAACTGAGATAGGCTTCCTATCCTGTATTGAGCACCATCAAAATCTATAGATGCCCCCTCCCCCTTACTTCTTAACACCAATCTGTTCAAGATGATTGCAAGTAGGTTTATATTCCGCTTCTCATTCCATTCCAGGCCAAAACACCAACCAAAACAATGACGGGACAATGGGATCAGCTCCTAACCAGAAGGTCTGGAGTTTGAATACGCTCAGAATATTCTGAATTTGAATATTGCTCAGAGTATTCATTCTATTCCCTCCTGCCTGGAACCCGTGAGAACAAATTTTCACATTTCAGGGGCCCAACAGTGGAGGAAAAACTATATCCCAGATTGCCTCTGAGCATCTGCAAAGAGCCGTTTCCAACGATCTCGGAGAGATGGAGAGGGCATCGTGTCACCAAAAGCCCACCTGAATGGTTAATCGATTTAATTTATTTTAGTTATTTTTAACTTTTATATTATATGTATCTTAATTTCGGCTGTTCACCACCCTGAGTCCTTCGGGAGAAGGGCAGTATATAAATTTAAATAAATAAATACATAAATAAATACATAAATAAATAACAGGAAGTGTAGAAAGCAGGAAGTGTAGAAATAATTACACTAAATCAAAGCCCAAACGCTTCCCGTTTAGGGATTGACGGGCAGGACTAGATTTGGGGCCATCTACTCGGTAGACCTACTTGCTAAATGTGGCAAGCCTACCCCAAAATCCGCAGAACCCCAAACAAACATTAAATAGACCGCAGGCCTCACCAAGCCAAGATATCTCAGCTGCTTCATTTGATCATTGGAAAAGACAAAAGGCGACTCACCCGGACGATGTAGGAGACTCCGGGGCCTAAAACTCTGTCATCCGGATGCAGCCAACCTTGGACCGGTTTACTGATGAAACTCCCTTTCCGGCTCCACTCCTCCCCGGGGGCTCGGGGCCCCGGGGCCCGAGATGTCTTCCTGCCCCCGGCCGTCCCTCCTTTCAGCCTGCCGCAGGGTGTGGCACAGACCGGTTCGCAAGCACTGAGGACGGCAGCCAGGCCTGACCCCGAGGCCGATGAGGGCACCGTGACACCCTCGGCCTCTGCCAAGCTGCCGGTTTTGACCGATGCCGAGAGATCTTTGCTGGCACTGGACGGGCTGCGGCTGAGAAAGCCGGACGGGCCGGAGAATTTCCATTGGGGCATCTTTGGGAGGAGGGTGCAAAAGGTGGTGACCACCTCCTGTTCCTCCCCCAGGGGAGATGGGGGGCTCAGGGTGGCAGCAGGGGGGGCTGGGGAAGAGAGAGGGGTGGCCGCGGTGACCTTGCTGCTCATGGCTGGCTTCTCGGAGGGCGTCAGCGAGTGAGGATCATACTTGGATTCTGTCAGCTTGCCCTGCTGTGGATGGTCTGGCTAAGTGGTTTTAGAGTGCTCAGATGACTCTTCTGCTCCGGCTCGCCTATCATCCCTGCCACAGCACATCAGTCGTCGTTCCGTCCCCCCACCACCACCTCCCCTCCCAAGCCTAGAAACAACCTCCCACCCCCACCCCCATCCCCTTGGGAAGATCAGTTCACACTATGATGTAATGGCACTGTGGTTTCTCAAGCCCCCACCCCCACCCACCCCCCACCCCCCGACCAACTGCTGCACACACTCGGACGGACACAACGAACGCCGAGATTCCTTCTCCGCTGGGATGGCTGCCCATCTTCCTTGCAGAAATGGTGTAGCAGAGAGTGTGTGTGTGGGGTGGGGATGTGTGAGAATATGTAACAGGCAAAGAAGGAGAGGGGGAAATGCTATTTTGGTTTTGAGGAAACATTACGAGGGAGGGAGGGAGGGAAGGAAGAAACATGGATGGGTGGATGGATGGATGGATAGATGGAAGCAGTGAATGAAGGAAAGAAGAGAAGAAGGGAAGGAGGGAAGAAGAGAGGGAGGGAGGGAAGAAAGGAAACATGGATGGATGGATGGCTAGATGGAAGCAGTACAAAGGAAAGAAGGGAGAGGGAGGGGAGGGAGGAAGGGAGGGAGGAAGGAAAAGGAAGGGAGGGAGGGAAGTAGGGAGGAAGGGAGGGAGGGAAGAAAGGAAACATGGATGGATGGATGGATGGATGGATGGATGGATGGATGGAAGCAGTGAATGAAGGAAAGAAGGAGAGAGGAAGGGAAGGAGGGAGGGAGGGAAGAAAGGAAACATGGATGGATGGATGGATGGATAGATGGAAGCAGTGAATGAAGGAAAGAAGGAGAAAGGAAGGGAAGGAGGGAGGGAAGAAAGGAAACATGGATGGATGGATGGATAGATGGAAGCAGTGAACGAAGGAAAGAAGGAGAGAGGACGGGAGGGAGGGAGGGAGGGAAGGAGGAAGGAAGGAAGTAGGGGGGAAGTAGGGAGGGAGGGAGGGAAGTAGGAAGAAGGGAGGAAGGAAGGAAGGACATTCAAATTGAGTATTAGGCTTTAATTTATTTTTCTGCCACCTTTATGCACTCTTCAACCCAGATGGCTTCCCAGGAGCTTTACAAGTCAGGCTGACATTTACAAAACCACGCTCAGAGAAGGAAATCTAATAAGAAAATAAAAGGCTAAAGCCAAATTTAGATGAGAACCAAATTAACCCACATTCATCTTAACGATTTCAGGTGTCAAGGCCTGTCGCACACCTGGCAAAATCATTCAGAAAGCAACAAAGCCGGCAGCCTTTTGCATCCCCATGGGAAGCCTCCAGTTAGGAAATGCCACAAGCAATCTTTGCAATCTCAGCAGGCCCACCCTCCATGTTAGCCCCTTTCCTTCCCCACGGACCCTTTAAGACATATGGACTTCAACTCCCAGAATTCCTCAGCCTGCCATGTCCTTCCTTCCTTCCTTCCATCTTTTCTCCCTCCCTCAAAACCAAAATAGGGGAATTATGGGAGTTGAAGTCCTTGTATATTAAAGTTGCGAAGTTTGGCAACCCCTGCTCCAAGGCACCTGCTGAGGCCTTCATTCATCAGGGGCACCAGAAAACCAACATTCTCTAAGGTTCATGGAACTCACAATGTGTCTGATCATCATTTGCGTCCCCAGGAATCTGCGTAGCCGTGACTGCTTCACTGGTGTCACCATCAAACTCAATTTAGCAGCAACTGCCTAAAGTAGACCTACTTGAAAAATAATAAGGTATTCGATTTATATACAGGTAGTCCTTGACTTACATTTATGACAGTAGCAATGTCATTTATGATCAGAATTTGCGGCCTTCACAGCCAGCAAAGTCAATTGGAGAAGCTACATTTAGTGAACAATCACATGATTCACTTAATGACTGGTCACTTTGTGACCAGTTAAGATGGTCACAAAATCAGGTCTGATCATATGATGTCTTGCTTTACAACTGCACGGGTTTACGATGGAAATTCTGGTTCCAACTGTAGTCGTAAATTGAAGACTACCTGTCGAGAGCCAGGAGTCCAGGCGGTTCAAATGACTTTATAGTTTTATTGCAAGCTTAAGCTCTCTACAAGAATCTGACCTACTAACGGTCAAAGCAAATTGGTGGTAGATAAGGAATTCATGGTGGGCTGTGAACTTAGATTTCTTGTGGGCATGAAAAGAATTGAGACTGATGATGTGCTTGACCCCTCTCTCAGGCTCAGTCTGGTCATCTCCTACAATACCTGTACTACCGGACTCCCAGCGATATCTAGGTGATCTAGCTGATTAATAATCTAGGCAATTATTAACACATTAAAAAACAAAGGATAATAGAAAAGAAAAACCCTGCAAAACAGCATAGGAGAGAAGAACAGGATGAGGGGGGAAAATAAACCCAGAAGGGAGAGAGTGAGGGAAGGAGGGAGAGAGAAAAGAAGGGAAGAGGAAGAAATTAAGAAATTAAGGGAGGGGAAAGAGGGAGGGAGAGAGGGAGGAAGACTACCTGATCTGTTATCATGCGTATGCAGGCAGGCCAGCATGTATGAAAAGAGGGTCTTACAAGTGAAAGGCCCACTACAGCTTTAATCTGGATTTTGATTTAACTCAGATTTTGATTTTATCCAGATGCAGATTTGATGAGGGAGGGAGGGAGGAAGGCAGGGAAGGAGAGAGGGAAGAAAGACACGAAGGGAGGGAGGGAGATGGGGAGGGAAGGAAGAAAAAATAGAGTGAAGAAACAAGGAAGGAAGGAAAGAAAGAAGGAAGGAAGGAAAGAGAGAAGAAAGGAGAGAAGAAATTAAGGGAGGAAGGAATGGAAGAAGGAATGGAGAGAGGGAGAGGGGGAGGAAGAAGAGAGAAGAAAGGAAAGAAGAAATTTAAGAGAGGAAGGAGGGAGGGGAGGGAGGGAAGAAGAGAGGAGAAAGGAAAGATGAAATTAAGAGAGGGAAGGAGGGATGAAGGAAGGAGAGAGAAAAGAGAAGAAATTAAGGGAAGAGGGAGGAAGGAATGGAGGGAGGGAGGAAGAAGAGAAGAAAGGAAAGAAGAAATTAAGGGAGGAAGGAGGGAGGGGAGCGGGAAGAAAAAAGAGAGGAAAAAGGAAAGAAGAAATTAAGAGAGGGAAGGAGGGATGAAGGAAGGAGAGAGAAGAGAGAAGAGAAGAAATTAAGGGAGGAGGGAGGGAGGAATGGAGGGAGGGAGGAAGAAGAGAGAAGAAAGGAAAGAAGAAATTAAGGGAGAAAGGAGGGAGGGAGAAGGAAGAAGAAAGAAGAGGAAAAAAGAAAGAAGAAATTAAGAGAGAAGGGAGGGAGGAAGGAAGGAAGAAGGGAGAAGAAAGGAAATAAGAAAGGGAGGGAGGAAGGGAGGGAGGAAGGGAAGGTGTATCAATCCTCTTCTCCAGACTTTCTAAAGCAGCCTCACCATCTGTTCCCCTTTAGCTCCTGGGGGACATGAGATGCGATACTTGGTAAATGAGATCGTGTTTCCCCTGTGAAGTGGTAACTGCGAAGCCATTCTAAGCCCTCCGCTTTGGAAGCCTGCTTATCCTTCAGTCACACCTTGCTTTGTCCACAAGGATGACATAATTAGTGCGAAGCCGCTTGGCTCCTCTTCGCCCACTAGGACAATTTTTTCCACTGCAAAACTGTTCATTAAAAGAGAAAGGGACCAGAAATGCTTCGGAAATGCTTCACCAACTCCTCCGATCTCTTCTTCCTAATAGGCTCTGAATTATACTCGGGGGAGTAAAGATGGTGAGAGGCCACCTGCTTGAAGGTCAAGCAACATGTTAAATATCAAATTCAGAATAGAGCTGGAGGGAACCTTAGAGGTCTTCTAGTCCAACCCTCTACTGAAGCAGGAAACCTATACCATTTCAGACAAATGGCTATCCAGTCTCTTCTTTTTTTTTAAATTTTTTTTTAAACACGAACAAACGTACAACGTATATACATGTAAAAACACATACATATACATTAATACAATACACACACAAAAAAAGGAAGTCTATCGACTAACTCCCAAGAAGCTGTCGCATCGGTGGTTGTTTTCTAATTTACCTGTTATTTCTTTATTTAGAAGTTTGCATTTCTGCTTGTTTGTGCCTTAACATAATTATGCATTTCTAAGCATAGCTTTCTGCAAATCATAGTAACTATTCATAAATACCATCCTACTGTTTTCCTCATGTGCCGATTTCTGTACTCTTATTTAAGTTTCCTAACATCTTTTTTTTTTTTTATTTGATTTATATGCCGCCCTTCTCCGGAGACTCAGGGCGGCTTACAGTGCATTAAGCAATAGCCTTCATACTTTTGTATATTTATACAAAGTCAGCTTATTGGCCCCACAATCTGGGTCCTCATTTAACCTACCTTAGAAAGGATGGAAGGCTGAGTCAACCTTGAGCCTGGCGAGATTCGAACCTGCAGAAATTGCAGGCAGCTGTGTTAATAACAGGGTGCATTAAACCACTGTACTACCAAGGCTCCTTGGTTTTACTGGCCCTATCCTTCCCTCCAGCCATGAGTACCATCTTTGCCAAACTATATAGTAATCAGTATCTTCCTTCTCTTGGAGCTCTTTAGTGAGTCTATCCATTTCTGCACATTCGGTTATTTTTGCAATTACTTTTGCTTCTGTTGGTCGTAGTTCGGATTTCCAATTTTGGGCGTACAATATGCGTGCCGCTGTCAAGATGTGGATGATAAGATATTTTATCTCTTTAGTATATTGTGCTGTAGTCATTCCAAATAGAAAAAAATCCGGTTTCATTTCGACTTTTTGCTTAGTTATTTCTTCAATCATTCTCTTAATTTCTTGCTAGTAGTGTTGTGCCTTTCTACAAGACCACCAGAGATGACCCCTTTTGCGACTTGCATTTCCACTGGTTAATTGTTCTCACTGTCAGGAAATTTCTCCTTAGTTTTAGATTGCTTCTCTCCTTGATTCGTTTCCACCCATTGTTTCTTGCCTTGCCTTTTGGTGTTTTGGAGAATAATTTGACCCCCTCTTCTTTGTGGCAACCCCTCAAATACTGAAAGGCTGCTATCATGTCCGCCCCAGTCCTTCTTTTCTCTAGATTGGCCATACCCAAATCCTGCAACCATTCTTCCAAT